TTATTCGTCGTGGGCATCGCACCTGAAAATTCCATGATCATTCAAAAAGAGACCGTGAATCTTGAATCATCGACAATGTTGCTGCTGCCTTTGCCGTTCTGTCGAAGATTGGATGGATGCTACAGAATCCGTCCCGCAATTCTATATTTACCGAGGAATAGGTACGTTTTGCGTTGGCCACTTTGGAGAGTGAGGAGGACTAGCTAATCTTCTGCGGAGGCAGTAGGACCGCGGAAGGTGGGCTCATCGTCATACGAGAAATCTGTGGGTTGAACTCAGGAGTGAAGTCTTTATAGACCAACGAAATTACTCCATCATTCTGAATCCCGTCACATGATGTCGTTCTGAAGGGACAGCGCCACTTGTGCCGCTGCCGTTTAACGCACTTCATTCGCCCACACCCTATCTTTTCTCTACCTATATCATGAAAGTTCAAAAATCTGTCTCGAAAACCTGGAGGGGTTTCTCATGAGGTTGACTTCCTCTTCTAGAAATTTCGGTTAAGTTATTATGTAATTGTTTCCAAAGGGATGTAAAACTGAATTTTCGTGAGATGTGGTTGGAGTAGCAGCTGGCTCTGCTATAAAGCTTACTTTGGACCTTTCAGTTTCCAAATTACCGTAAAACCTCTAATTATTGGTCACCTCGGGACCTATTTCTCAATGCCTGTATTTCTCTTCCATCAAGGTCGAATTGACTGCATTTATAGGCATTGTTTTGGGTGAAAGTGGTATAGTGGCATAACTTACTACCTTCTCGGTCCAGGGATAAGATACTGTAATGTCCTGCTGTCTAGCTGAACTGAGCCGGGATCGATTAGTTGTTACCAAGACGGCCTGGGAGGATGGAAATACTGACTTGTTCACCGCCCGCCCCTCCCCCCTCCCCCGAAGACATTATATGAGCCAAACTGCTTTCAATGCATTCACGGTTCTACATGGGAATGGAATGCGTGGCGTATCCCAAAACGGATTGATCAAGACCGAATATTTTATCGTTCAATAGTCATGTGTTTTATCTGACCAATTTTAGTCCAGGAGCTCGCAGGCAAAGGAATTCAAGGGGGAGGGGCGCTGAAGGGGGTGGGTGGGGGGGGTAAGGGAAGGAGGCGATTTTCAACAAAACCTTTTGTTCCTAGGGTTTCTATCAGTCCCTAGTCAGTGGCAAAGGTTTGTTATGCAAGAGGTGGCGCTAACGCAGAAACTTCACGGCAAGCTCTTCTACACAGTCTATACCGTTTATCCCTTCTACAAGATTGTTATAGCATGAACTGGATTGGGAGAAATGATATAGAAACCAATGCAAAGCTGTGAAAATGGCGCAAATCCAAAAAAAACTCCGAAAAATCTGAAGAACGTCAAACCAAACAATACGAGTGACCTCAGAGGGCCGCAGTGGAAGGACACCGTGAAGGGTCGCATTTTATTCCGTCGATGCAAACTGCCTGGCCATAATCCGTGCGAGTGCACACTGCATTTCAATTTTGCCTGCCCTTTGCTTCTCATACTAGTACATTTCATTTCCCTGAATTTGTTGGAAAAATTTCCTGCTGAGTTTCAGATCACCATCTGGAGAACAACTAAATGCACTACTAGAACTAACTGAAGAAAACGAACGACTACGAAAGGAACTGCTCGAGACAACCACGAATCTTGGCCAGCTGCAGAGCTAGGCTTGATGAGGTTAGCATTTGAAGCTGTTGCGACTTGTATTTGGAATATCTGTGGTTTTTTCATCATTTTACATATTTCAATTATTATTACATCCCGCTAGAAAATACCATCCCATCTCATTCCTGTGAATTTTCTGAATATTCTGGAGGAGCGCATTCCGCAATAACCATAAGATCGATAATGTTGAATCAGATCTTCTCAATTATTTGAACTGATGAGTAGTTTTTTTCACTGGGAGAATTCCTCCGGTGTTCATGGTGTCTGTATGAGTCCAGGTAAACCGAATGGTAGCCGTGTTCCTATAACGGTCATAGGGTTTACGGTCTAAAGGTAGATGCACACCTCCATGTGAAACGCCTGCGTATCCGCAATCGTTCTTCACCTTCAAAAAGTTCGTCTAAAATCAGATTTAACTGTGGATATCCTCTTTCAATGTATGATTTCTTCATTTCTTAATTGAAATATTTTTTAAAATTTCCACGGGAATTTTTTTATACTCGCATTTTCAGGTCGATGCCGATATGACGAGAATCACCCGTGAAGGCAAAACTCAAGCACTGAAAGCCCGAGCAGTGGCACAGGGTCGAATCAAAGAACTTGAAGATCGAATGGCCGAGATTAAAGAGCAGCATGCTGAACAGGTATTGTGCTTTTGGGAAACTTTATGCATTAACAGAATACCATTAACATCAGCCTGATATTACGGGATGCATTGGTTTAGGTGGACCGCCTGCAAACGGAAATCGAAAGCCTCAGAAGCACTCGGGAATGGGAAGTGGAACAGAATGCTCAACTGCGCGAACAGTTGAACGAGGCCAAGTTAGTTTTACAGGCCTGTGCCGATCCGATACTAGCGCAATGGCCCGGGTACCTGACAGGAGGCCCGCCGCGCTTCAAGGAGGCGGAGTTAGCGGACGAGTCGCAGCGCGTACTGTGGTGATTTCGCGTCAAGTTAAATAGAATGTACCATTGTACGTCCCACACGTGCGCATTTTTCAGGCTTTCTTGCCGTCGCGCGATGGGTCTACTGTTGGTACTCCAACAGCCCTCATACTAGCGAGCTTGGCCCGTAGACAGGAAAGTAAAGCTCGGCTTAAAGTTGTCGCTCATCTCAGCGTAGGCGTTTTTTAATCGCTGCGAGCGTATTCGCCCTTCTATTTTCCTCTACGTAAAGAGGCAAATGATGTTTAGCGCAGCCGTTGGTTCTACTATCTCGTTTTTCTACACACGTTGAAACAATATGGCGCAAAGAAAAGCGTCGGCTGCAGAACCATACCACAACAAGTTACGAAATTTGTTATGATATTTTGTAATTAGTGACAACTGATAGAATACAACTGCAACAGGCTAATCATTTCATTGGCAGAAAACATTTACATTTTGTGGAGGCCGTCGTCACTTGTGGTGTATGGTCTGCACCCGACGCTCTTCTCGTTTTTGAAAGGGGTGTACATATGGAATCTTCTGAAATTTTCTCTCCACGAGGGAAGTGGTCAATGGCTCATTGGCCGTCAAATAATGAGATTAGTCTCACAGTGCACACGCTGGCGATGCTGAGGCTCAATCTTTTTCGTTATCTGCGGAACGATTCTCTGAAAGAAGTTAGGGGGATTTTTCTCTTTGTGACTTTCCCACTGTGGCACCCTCTACATCACCTTAGCTCTTTCTTTATTTCCTGTGCAACTGCGAAAAGCTGTTTTGTTTTGATCACCATGTGAAGAACTATCACATATGCTCACAAGTTATTGAAATTTTGTATATTTACGAGCCTGTGTCCTTGTGTTTTGTCCCGTGTGTCAAAGTTCATCATAATAGAAAACCTAAAAAGAAGGACGAGAGGAAAATTCCAAAGTCTGTCTCAGCCATATGTCAAGTGGGGACGCAAATCAACAAAATAACCAAATATAGACACTTTCTGGGCTCGTATGAGAAGCCATGAAAAAATGCAAAAACTTTGCGGTTTCTAAGGATCCGATCATGTGACCTCTCGAGTGAGTCTAGGGAGATATCCTTGGCCCACTCTGGCCAACTCCGCATGAGTGCTCTCTGTCTTCCTAGCGACGTGGAGGATAAGGGAAGTAGAGAATGCTGCACAGTGAAAAGCTAAAGTGAGAAGATTCCTCTAATCTTATCAGAGAAGTCGTCGCAGATAACGAACTTCTGGGAGTTTCCATTGAGCGAAGTTTTCATACGCGCTCGCTGAACGTTGTCCTTGGCAGTCGGGCGTCTGTTCCAGTTAAAGGGACCATCTGTGTGGTTGTGGCACATGAACCGCGTGAAATGTACTTTATTTCGAAAACGGGTAGACCTTAGGCTGAGGTGGAGAGGTCCAATGAAGTGCGTTAGAGCCATTTTTATTTTCTGCCAGAGTTCGCTTCCCCTCTTAGAACCTAAGTCCTGAATGCCGCGCATTGGGTACCCGGCTTTGTTCCTTAGAGGGAAGTAGGGTGAGGTCTTTCTCTCGCAGCACGTGTAAGGCTGCGTTTGGAAAGTATCAGTAAGCTGGCTGAAATGGTGTGTGCAAAGTCCGCTCGACTGCGATCGGTCCTCAGTATGTGGGCATATTGGTTGCTGATTAGTACGGCGATCACTTACTTATCAGCCTCATTGAGCTGGCTAGTTCTTATCGTCGGCGCTGACGTGCTCCGTACGTGGGTATTCAGAACAGCGTCAGTGATAGTTGTTTGAATTTTCACATCCAAACCGGTGGTTCCATGAGTGGACGGCGAAGGTGCGTGTGGAATTGACAGGAGAGAGCCTGACTTCTACAACCGTTGTTTTTAGGACTAAGAATCACAAGCTGACTGAAGAGTTGGATGCCAGTGAGAAGGCGAACAGAGACTGGGAAGTTAAGGTGAGCGGTTCTCTTCTTGACGCTGATAATCAACATTTATCATGAAAAAAAAAACCGCTGTTTTGTTTGTTCATGTCAAGATCAGATCAGATCCCTTCAAAATGTCCATCTACGGTGCAAAACTGATATACTAGGACACGATTTTGTGAGTAACGGGGTAAGCAGAAAGCTTAAAGAGAGGAAACAAAGAATTCCTGTCCCTTGTAAGGCATCATGTCCAACTTCGACGTAACTAACATGGTGTGGCCCGCAAGATCGAAGGCTCTCGGTAGATTAGTTTTCGCTGGGCCGACAACTATAGGGATTTCAGGCGGTAGATAGGTAACTATGGTTTATTAGAGATTTGGGAAGTTCCAAGGCCCCTATCAACAAGAGAACATTGCGAATGCGCCCGTCCTACTGATTGTGAGGCGGCTATTCCTTGCCCCTGTGCCACGTAGCGCCGCGTCTTATCCTTTCCTTGGGTGCATGGCTTAACCGGTCAGCATTCTCAAATGTGCCGTGTATATTCATGTTTAATCGTGTGGCGTTCAATTGGGCTTTACTTTTACCAGCCCGCTTTTACAGGAAATAAAACACTGGTAAGGCCGCGTTCATAGTTCGCGACTCGCGGAGATTAGGATAGTACGCGACAATGAAAAACATATGTATTGACGGCGAGATTAGGATAGTAGTAGAGTAGGAGATTGCGCTGACAAGATTAGATACGTATCGATTGAAATCGCCGGAGAGTAGTAGATTGCGATATTACGATAGTAGGATAGTAGTAGAGTAGGAGGCGCTCATCCAGTAAGGGGGGGGGGGGGCATTGTGATGCAACGTCAAGCTGCCCTCACCCCCACCCCCCTGAACTGGCTTCACTCCCCCTGGCTCACGGGGTCCCGTACTTCGAGAAACCTGTGCGCCAGGGGGAGTGTAGGCAGTCTAGGGGGTGGGGGTGAGGGCAGCCACTTGATGCCCCCTTACTGGATGAGGCGCCGAGTAGGAGATAGATAGTAGTAGTAGATTAGGATAGTGCGCTGACAAGATTAGATATGTATTGATCTATTCGCTTGAAGTCGCCCAATCTACTACTCTCCAGCGATTTCAATCGATACGTATCCAATCTTGTCAGCGCAATCTCCTACTCTACTACTATCCTAATATCCTGTCGCCTACTATCCTAATCTCCCGAGTCGCGAACTATGAACGCGGCCTAAGGACTAACTTCGGGCACAGCACATTTTCTTAAGGGAGGGGACACTTCAAAACAGGGATGATGGTAGGTGATATTAGGGCTGCTAAGCCCAGTATAGGGTAGAAATGCCAGATAGAGCAATGGTAGCTCACATCCTCTCCCCAAATCCTTTCCTCTCTCTATATAAATTTCCAGTTCTAGTGAGTGCCTGGCCATTCAGTTCCCTGTCGCCCTAAGACAATCCGCCTACGGCCCGCTACTGTGCGAATCTTCACCCCCCCCCCCCCCCCCCCCCCCCCCCCCCCCCCCGTCGTTATAGCGATCTCCTCAGTCTGAAAAAGCTTTGGGTGCATAACAAGTAGCGTGGGCGTGCAACGCGCATTCTTCAGCCAGAAAGTATTTAAGTGGGACTGGGACGCTATCCATATGTTAATAAAACGGGAATCCTCGTGAGTAGAGGAGTGTATAGTCAATCTAGGGGGATGGGGGGGCGGGCTGAGGCAGTCACTTGAGCATTGGGTGAAAAGTTAGAAGTGCCACCCACTCGTATAGAGCCCAGCTTTGATACCGTTTATGAATTTGGGGTGGGCAGGAGTTAACATTTTGATAGTAAACCAGCACTTGTATCTGAAAAGCTTATTTCCCGACAAAATTTTACTATAGGCTAACATGAAAAAAATGAAAACACAAAAACCAGCATGAAAAATCTCTACATGGGAAACGTGTTATCACGTGCAGAAGACGTGTTAGTACATGGCAACCTCATCAGTTGTTGTTTTGAAGTATGGACACTAGCTTACTCTAGACTTCGTTCGCGCCCTACCAGCGGTTTACAATTGCACTGTTTTGTATGTGCAATGCCCCCCCCCCTTGAAGGCAGGGCGTCGCTTGTGCTTTGATCCTACATATCTGCATTTTTGTACCGTGGAATGGCAAGGTTAATGCTTTTTTCAGTTTCTTTTGAGTGTGCAGATGCTTCTGCTTCCTTTTATTTCTTTACCTTTCGAGATTTCTCCTTTTAACTATTCTGTAAATAGCATAAAATAACTATTGGCTAATACCTGTATTTTCCTCGTCAGTGTACCACGGTCCAAGAACACTTTACGAGCACTGATGGAAATCTTTTGAGAAGCTCATTCCTTACAACAGTCGTAGTGTGTAGCTCATTCCACAGTTGCTTAGTTGCGCCATTAGGCCGCGTTCATAGTTCGCGATTCTGGAGAGTAGGATAGTACGCGACAATGAAAAATATGTATTGACGGCGAGATTAGGATAGTAGTAGATTAGGATAGTGCGCTGACAAGATTAGATATGTATTGATCTATTCGCTTGAAGTCGCCCAATCTACTACTCTCCAGCGATTTCAATCGATACGTATCCAATCTTGTCAGCGCAATCTCCTACTCTACTACTATCCTAATATCCTATCGCCTACTATCCTAATCTCCCGAGTCGCGAACTATGAACGCGGCCTTACTGCGCTTAAAATTGAAGGAAGAGATGCGAAAGAAACCAAATGTAAGCAAGAGAAAATTTCGGGAGCACAAAAAAGCGCTTCTTTCTTGAGCAACGAAAGAGCCCATGGGTCGAAACGCTCGGGTGTATATCAGTTCGCCTGGTACGGTTAGGTCACCTCAGGTTAGGACGCTCCTGATTGGCTCGTAGCAGACCTAAGCCTAAGCCTTAGCCCAACCCTTGGCCCAGTTCAAGCCTAGTGTAAGCACAAGCGTAAGCCTGAGCCTAACCTTATGGTTAGCCTTATTTTATTTGCCATGTCCTCTCATATGCCTCGGGAAGGGAATATACGAATGGGCATGGCAGGTAAAAAAGGACACCGCCAATGCATTCACAACGGTAGTCGGCTGGAGCTCAATCAAGCGGCCGGAGCCTAAAACAGTTCCTCTAGGGATTGTTCAGACAAAAATCTTAGACATTTATTAAGACAAAAAGCGGAAATTCGAAAAAGGCAAAATTTTGCAAGTTTACGAGGTCATACCATAACCACTTCTCACTTTTTTTGACTTCTCTGAAGTCCTTCAGAAATTCGAGCCAATTTTCTCTGTCCCATGCACGTCCCTCTAAACCTTTCTGAAAAGCGCTCCACCTCCTGAAACACTTAGTAGGCCAAGGCTGTTAAGACAAGCAAAACAAAAGCATGACTCAACTTGGAGGCTTAGAACTGAGCAATGCAAATGAAAGGTTGCACAATTCGGGAGTGACTAAGCTTTGTCGTAAGCGTCATACATGGTCGTACACAAGTGCAAAAGAAAACCGTACTGTAGCTTTTTCGAATCAGCATAAGGCGTCTGGATAAGGATATTGGTACTCAGAAAATTAAAATTTAGGTCGCCCATGGCGAGGAGTTTTTGGATCAGTTGATAGAAGATCTAGCTGAAGCCGAGGATGTGATCAATTATATGGAACAGCAAAAGCACAGTATACTTGATGACGTCGATAAACTTAAAGGTTTGTGGTTACTGTATCGACATTCTTCTATTGTTTTCTGCTCAACGGTGAGCGTTGAACAGAAAAGCAGAAGCATTCTTCTGAATGATGAACTTTGAAGACGCCATCATCGCTCAAGATCAACTGATCGAAATCCTCGAAGCGGACATCGTCATCTATGAAGAGCACATTGGCATTTTACGAGAATCACTTGGAGCATCCAAGGTGAGTGTTTCTCGAATTTGGATGATCTTTCTAGGGCAGGACAGGGTCAACCGCCGTGAAATTTGCAATGACGGGGATCCTATATGTTGGAATTGGCAATCGATCAGGCTTAAGAATGTTAAGGAGAGGTT